TTTCTTTATCATGGTGGTGAATGTAGGGTATCAATATTATTGAGCATAACAAGTGTCAAAATTGCTTGAAAATGCATAGATACATAATTAGTAATTATTTCTTTTTAGGCCTGAAAGTGGTTTTATTGGCACCACCAATAGGTAAGTCTTACTTAGTCCTTGTTTTTACACTCCTTTGTCAAATAGTCCCATGCCTCTCGGTTTAAATAGTCCTTTGCCAATCTTGATTCTGAGAAATAGTCATGCAAATATGCTGAAATAATGCAAAAAAAAAATGTCTTATGGATAGGGGGTCACTTAATGAACGTCTTCAATATATATATATAGAACCCGCTTCAAAATCTTCACCTTTAAGGAGGAAAATCCCCTATTGATATCCAAGTAATAACTATTGAGGAAAGTGAGACTGAAATCTTCAAAAACTGTTTGAGTGTCAATGGAAGCGTAGAAAATAATTAGAAACTCCTTCTAGCTTGTTTCTTCGGACCGGAAAAACTGCTATCTCGTATCGTTTTCTTCTTTCGCACGTCAGCATATGTTTTGCAAAAATAAGATTTAAAACCGATTCATTTTGGTTCAAAATCTTATTAAAGCACAACAATTTACAATCATTCATTGAACTATAACAATTTCGGTTAATTGAGTTGTAATTTAATAATTCGATTGTTCCTCAACCAATGAATACTAACTTATGGTAAGTAATGCAGTTTCCATAATATTTCAACTTTGTTTTAAGAAAGTCGTAAAATTACTGTTTATTTTTTTTTTTTAGTTTCTTTGATAAAAAACAAGGCATTGATTCGTATTGCAAAAGAGATAATTAAAAAAAATTTTTTTTACCACCACTGGTGTTTCGCGATTTGTTTCCTTTTTGTATTAATTTCAATGTATTTTTTGACTGTGCAAAGCTTTACATCAAACTATTATTTAAGCAAGAAATAAAACACAGAAATACTTTTTGAATGTTAATCTTTCTAGCAAACGCTAATGAACAAAACAGAAAATTTTAATTTGGTAAAGACTATTAGCCTTATTTGGATGAAATTGCCAAATTGGTTATGTGAAAAGTATTAGAAGATTAAAAATTCAAGATTATAAAGGTTGTTTGTCATTGTGTTAAATTTTACCCTATAATTGTCACCATGAAACTGTTGTCGTTGGTCAATGATGAAAACTCGTTAAATAATTTAACAAAAGCAACCTAGCACTGTAGTCATACAATGACAATCTGGACAATCCCTCCTGAGGTTATGGAATAATTAACTTAATTTACGAACTTAAATTTCAACGAATAGAAATTAATTCCCTCAATCAATACGAAAATATAATATCTGAGTTAGAAAGCACATTTTATTATATATTTTTAGCCTTGCAACTCTTTTTTCTTAATTTCTTTTTGTAAGAATTGGAAGAAAAATCACTCACATCAATCCCTGAAGTAAATTATCCTAACTACCACAGATATCGTTGAATACTCAATCTTGTACGGTAAACAGTTTTATTAAATTCATCATATGAGTTTATATTAAACAAAGGGAGCATTGATCCTTGGTTTTATTCGATAATTTGTGAAACTTGACCTGGCACCAATTAAAATTCAGCTTTAGTAAAGGCAAATTATGCATTGGTTAAAGGAGATTTTACTTCTCAAATATCAAATTTACACTTCTAACCTATGGCTACACATATAATAAGTAATGTTACAATTTTGATTAAGACTAGGAGGCTTCTCTCCCTGTTCTTTCCGCTCACCAACCCCAGTGGTTGCTTTTCTTATTCTCCATTATTTTTTTCACTTAAAAGTCAATGAAAGAAAAGTCATTGTTTATGAAATATATAAATGCCATCCACCTTCAGCAACCAGTTTGGTCAAAATATCTTGCACAATATGTAAACTTTAATGGTAACTCAGCAGAGCAGCATTAAAAAACCCCAATCGGAATACAATAGTTATAGCTTATATGGAAATTATAAGATATTATTTTTTTAAAAAATTGAAGTATTATCCATTTTTTTCACTTCTTAACTCACTGATGGAAAAATAAAATCCCAACACTGAGAAAAAATTATTGCAGAGTAATGAAATTTCGGCAATGCGTTGTTTGCTTGAGTGACATATTTAATTAACACATGTAATAAAATAATAAGTGTTTCCTTGTCTTCTGGATTAGGCTTGAAATTACAAGGCTACGGAGTTGAACTCTAGTAGTCGCAAACCCAAAAATCAACGACGGTTAAAAAAAAATGAAATAAAATCATGCACCGTGGATACATTTCCCCCCAGTCCTTCTGCAATATCGCGGTAAGAAATTCCACCTTCTCGCTGCCCTATTGCAGGACCACGTTCAAAGTCAGTGAGCTGTTGACAATGTCTTTTTCGTCTTTTTCGAGACATTCTCAAATATGACATCGAGACATCTGTCAGAGCTTAACGAAAAATAACGCTTACGAAATGTAGAACACGTATTTAAAGTAACTCTGATTTGCACGGTCACAATTTCGCTACTAGCACCAAACTTATGTACCAAGCGTTGAATTTGAATAGACATCATCTTTCAGTTATATAAACAAGCCTATTAAATTTAGTTTATTTAGCACAACTTCTTCTTGGTGTTGAGATTTTCTTCTCCATCAGAGTAATTTGGATCATCCGTTAGAAAACAGAATCAGAATTTCAACATAAAACTACTAAACTATGATGTTTAAAATATAAATATTCTCCCCCCCCCATCTTTTTTAGCTCCTTTTAAATGTAGACCTTTGGTTAGAGGAGACAAAATTACATTGACAGGAAGGTTAAGACTTAAATACAAGAGATGAAAAGTTAAAAGTGAATTTTGATGGAAAATTATAAGACTATATTGTTTTAAGCAAGGAGATACCCCCACTCCTTTAGTTCCTTGTGAACTTTAATCTTCAATTAAAAAAGATTAAATTTTCTAGATTGGGAGGTTAAACCTTTTCTTTACAAAGATCAAATCATGAAAAGGAATTGTGAGAAAAAAAATGAGATTATGCGTTTTTTTAGCTGTATTTAAACAATAAACATTGAAAATGAATTGATTTAAAAAATATATTTTTTCAAGTTTAATTTTACAGATTCTTTTTCTTTTAGCTTCCTATGGTGCACTTTGTGGAAAACTTGGTGTTTTGGGTGGCTTCGGTAATATTGATTTAAAGCTAGTGAGAAAACTATTGCGCTTTGTTATTAAGGATAGTTGCGCATGTGATTTGAAAGGTAACTAAAAATGAGATAAAAAAAAACCTTTTCTTGTTAGTATATCTTTCGAACAAAACCATTAATAAAATGTGACTCTTTATTATAGCATCACACACGTACTTGGCACTGGCAACTCCTGCGGCATTGGTCAAAGAAGGATACTTATTTAGCAAAATTTTACTTTCGGATCAAGTTGTTATTCTTCCAATTGCACCAGGAGATTACGTGACAGAACAAGTGATTAAGGCTAAGTTAGCAGCATGTTATGCTCCTCCACCCCCTCTTCCTTATCTTCCACCACCACCTCCACCATACAAGCCACCTGCTCCTTACCTTCCACCTCCACCTCCACCACCTCCTCCTTACAAACCACCTCCTCCTCCGTATGTAGCTCCACCTCCTCCATACGTCCCACCTCCACCTCCACCATACATCCCTCCTCCCCCTCCACCACCTATTCCATATGTTGCTCCCCCTCCACCATCTGCTCCATATGTGGCCCCTCCTCCTCCATATAAGCCTGCACCACCTTCCCCATATGTGGCCCCTCCTCCACCACCTGTTCCATATGTGGCCCCTCCTCCTCCATATAAGCCTCCACCACCTCCCCCATACGTACCTCCACCGCCACCTCCTCCATATATTCCTCCTCCTCCACCACCACCACCTCCTCCATACGTTCCTCCTCCACCGCCACCACCTCCTCCATATGTTCCACCACCACCACCACCTCCTCCTCCATATGTTCCTCCTCCACCACCACCACCTCTTCTTTACAAAGCACCACCTCCTCCCCCTTACCAACCACCACCTCCACCCCCTCCTCCTTACAAACCACCACCTGTAGTAGCTTATCCTCCACCCCCTCCTCCTTACAAACCATCACCTGTAGTAGCTTATCCTCCACCACCAACCCCTCCTCCTTACAAACCACCACCTGTAGTAGCTTATCCTCCACCACCACCCCCTCCTCCTTACAAACCACCACCTGTAGTAGCTTATCCACCCCCTCCTCCGCCACCTCCTTATAAACCTCCACCTGTAGCACCATATCCTCCTCCTCCACCACCTCCTTACAAGCCACCACCTGTAGTAGCTTATCCACCCCCTCCTCCTCCACCTCCTTATAAACCTCCTCCTGTAGTAGCTTATCCACCCCCTCCTCCTTATAAGCCTCCTCCTGTAGTAGCTTATCCACCCCCTCCACCACCTCCTTATAAACCCCCTCCTGTAGCACCATATTCTCCTCCCCCACCACCTCCACCACCTGTAGTAGCTTATGATCCCCCTCCACCACCTCCTCCTTATGAGCCGCCACCTGTAATATCATATCCCCCTCCACCACCAAAGAAGTATGAATATTAATTTTATGAAGAATAAGATTGAGTGTATTTATTAATTCAAGAAACTATTTTTTGTTTGTAACTTACATTGATTAGTTACAAACACAACAGCTTTTAAAAAAAGACTTTCCTTCTACGTTCATCATTTAATTCATCAACTGGATTGGAATATTTGTAAGAACACGTCATTATTTTTATTGAAGTCTTATTTTTTTGTGATTCTGTACATAGTAGCATATTTATTTTCTAGTTTTTGTCAAACTGCGTCTCCATGTATATATGAAGTAGAATAAACTTTTGTATGCATTGCTTACAATAAAGTTTTTCGTTTTGTTAAATAGTCTTAATTATTAGTCATATTTATTTTCAAGTTTTTGTTAAACTGCTTCTAGATACGAAGTAGAATAAAATTTTGTATGCATTGCTTACAATAAAGTTTTTCGTTTTGTTAAATAGTCTTAATTTTGTTCAAGACTTGATTAGTCATTCTAAAATTTACTCAACTCACAATGGTCTGTTAAATTCCCATTGAAACGAAATCAAGCTTAAATTGAAATTCAAGCTTAATTGAATTAAAGGTCGCAAACATTAGGATAGGCCAAAAATGCGCTGGAACTACGAGCTTAAGATAAAATCCCTCAAAGTTCTAGCTAATTTACTATTAAAGGACAATTTAGCTGTTACGGTAAGTTTGTTTAATATATATTTTTATCCAAGAGATTATGACATTTTCGAAAATATTTTGGAAAGATTGCGACTTTTAATAATCATGAAAAACGCAAATTAACTTGTTACGAACTTAACATTTGATGTTACTCTCTGATTTCAAATTATGGATTAGCTGTTACAATATGGAAACCATAAATGAATAAAATATTACAAAAAGAAAATGACTCCTATTTGCGACCAAAAGGTCATAATGATTTTGTGAACATACTTGATAAAGGAAGAATTTCATTAAAATTTTTTGAGTAAAACAAATAATTTTTGAACGCTCATATTTTAATTGCCACGTGCGAAATTTAGAATGCAGCAATTAATTTTATTATAGGAAGAAATTAGAAAAGTTTTTTTCCCCTGGATCCATGACAGGCTCAGCCTGTACCTTTTTTCCATTGAAGTTTATTTTATCATTGCTTTAAACGTTGTGCAGCACCATCAGAAAAAATATTGACATACTGGGATCTGCAAATAAATTATCATATGGCAAATGTTCTGAGATCTATGCATTTGAATATATTCTTTGTACAGTGTAAATACACCTGCTGTATTCATGATAATCTAGTTATTTATCCAGTGTACACTTTGTACTTCATTTTGCTGTTGCATAGTAGAGGAGATATCACTAAAATTCACCTGATACCACTGCATCTTTTATCTGATATCGGATTTTTGCATTCTCTAAAACAAAGATATGGCTTTGTTTTAATGTAACAATGTTCAAGGAATAGAAACTTCAATAAGTTTTAAAATGCTTTGTTTTAGTGAGTGTTAAATTATATTTAGAACAGTTTGAAGGTAATAATATATACCATAACTATCACTACTTTAACAGACAATTTGATAAAAAAATATTTTTCTTATTTTTACTTGAATTCAAAATTTGACAGTTTATGAAAATTTTTTGAAGAAATAATTAATTTTCATAGATTTTAATTCTGTTTAAGATAAAACTACATACTTTCTGTCATTGTAAAGTTTTTTGTCGCCAATTTTGAAAATTTAGTCAGCATCAGGGATAGAAAAGAGAAATTAGTCACTGGTCTGAAGCATCAGTAACTAAAAGATACTACTTGTTTCACTAGTCCATATATCTGTTTTTAATAGTTTTTTTAAAGTTAATAAAACGAATTTATGTGAAAAATTAGATAATTGGAAATACGGATTTTGTGTAATGTCAAATTAGAAATACAGAGTTTGTGTGATGTCAAAATTATGATGAAATATGCTTTTTTGTTAAAAATCTCTGACCAAAACAGAAAACCGAAAAAATCAAAATTTGAAAACAGCATTCCATTCTTTTCATTCATTGCTGGTATGAGCGACCACTACTAATTATTTTATGGTGGTCTGAGTCACATTACAGTGGTCTTGGATCAGCGTAAATTTTGAGTCCTTGAATCAAATAACGTTGCCAATATTTAAAATGCGATTTGTTTTTGAAATAGTAGAAACTTAGAAAAACATCTAATCAGAAAATATTTACCTGATAAATATAATACATTCTAAATAATATCTATAGCAAATAGTAATTATAATATTATATTTCGCTTCAAATCAAATTATTTTCAATTTTATATCTAATCCAACGCTGTTACTTTTTAGAGCACAATTAAAAATGGAATTTATAAATAGAGAAAGAAAGCAAATACTGAGTTCAAATTTTGAATTTCATGATCAATTTCAACTCTTTGGATATGAACAGTGGAGGCAAAGTTGTCGCCGTGCATAGCGCGCAATCACGCAAAGACAGACACAAGCCGATTTTTGTTCAATTCAAAGTTAAGCTCGAAAAAGATCATTGTGTAATAGCATTGAAAGGAAAAAAAACATTTTCTAGCCTCGGATATAAACTCCAGATTTGACACATCTCCGATCTATATCAACGAGTACCTGGCTCCAACTATTGAAAAAATTATTATTATTATTATTATTCTTTTCCCAATGCATCTTAACATCAGTCAACTCAGGCATATACAGGGCGATTTTGGTGGCCTCTCTTTCAGGGGCACCATACTAGGTGGGCCAACGTCGCTCCCACAGTGAGGACAGATGGCACAGAGAAGGAAAGGACATCCATACCTTGCACGGGATTCGAACCCAGAACCTTTCTGATGAAAGGACAGTTCCCTGCCCCCTACACAAACCGGTCGGCTTGAGAAAATTATTATTCCTTTCTAAACATTTCAAACGTGAAAACAATATTCAGTTTTGCTGTTTCAGGAATAATTTATTCGTCAAAACGAGAAATTTAGAGAGAGTGTTCCGCATTCACAAAGAATCTGATTTAGTCGTCAGCGTTACATGATTATAGCTTAGAATCTGATAACTTTCCCAATCAATTAACTACAGGCACACCAGATTGTTCATTTGTATTTATTACAACAATCTCAAATACATTAATGTTATTCATTTCAATTTTTATAGTATGAGATTAAATTTTGTGGAACTCGATGTTCTTTTAGTTGATAAACATAACTCAATTGATATCATATAGTTTTATCCGAAACATTCTTGTCCGAAATCTTCAGAATGTTAATAACTTAAAATGTTTTTATTGTTGTAGAAGCTATAATTAATCTGGAGGTGTTTTAGTTTGCTATAAAAGGAAACATAATTTTGAAAATAGTTTTACAGATGGCTTTTGCTGAACTAGTTGTTAAGTACAGTGCGCAAAATAGAAAAACGGACCACCCCTGAATAACTTTTGATCTAGAGATCGGACTTTTACGTTTTAGGACACAATCTTAATGGTTCAAATGGTTGACTTCAAATATGCTAATTAATTAGTGCAGACGATATTTTAAGTAACAAACTCAGACGCAAAAACATACGTTCTATGAATAAGCAGATCTCTTTTCGACGGATTTGAATTTCACAACCCCAAAATATAAAGGGTAGTCGAAATGTGGGAAATATGGTCCCAATAGTTTGGTCAGGAAAGTGATCCATATTTTGAACCCCTTAAAGTTAATTTTACGTTCCGCATATTTCCCCATATCTCAAAAACTTTTTAAGCAAATTGAAAAATTTTTGAGCCCAATTACAGAATAAAATAATTTAAAGATAATTACACGAAAAAATAACTTTCAGTAAATATTTATTATTTTTTATTTTTTTTATTTAATATTAGTCAAAAGAATAAAAATTATAAGGTGGACAATTTTAATATCATTTTAAGGAATGCAATTTTACGTGGCAAGATACTAAATTTGAGAGAAATTAGTCGAATGGTTCATGAGAAATTGAATTTCAAAAATACGATTTTTTCAAAATTCGATTTCTCAGGAACTATTCGTCCGATTTCGTATAGATTTTGTATTTTACCATGAAAAATTGCATTTTTTAAAATGATGTAAAAATTATATTTCATTAATAATATATATAATCAAATTAAACTTTATAGATAAATTAATGGCATGTATTAACTAAACTTAAAAAGTATTTACAATTATTTAATGATTGGTTAAAATTTATAGCCAAAGAGGAGGTTTTATCATAAACATTGCGTCGCCAATAGCCCATTGTGCAGCTCTAGTGCGACGTAAATTAACAACAACAAATCGTAAACATTGATACCTAAATTTTTTTTTTCACACAAAGCTATGTTACATTATTATAATAACGCCTGAAAGCACTTCACTACTATCCTTTGCAAGCTTTCCGCATTTTTTTTTGCAGACATGGGGGGTGATTTTAGGGAGAAAACTGAATTTCTTCTCCACAGGCAAGTGATGCCTTTTTCCGACGTTTTTTCCACTCTGTATTCAACAACAATTTTAAACTCAACTGTAATTTGTAAAAAAGAATATCATAAAAATATACATATAGTATCGATACAGAATACCAGTCAAATAACAAACGGGGATTTATCTATTAAAAACAAATTCGAATATTTCTTAATCTGCTATGATTATACTATTTGTAGAAACCGGTGCTTCCAAATCCTTCTAAAGGGTATTATAAGCTTAAAAAAATGATTTTAGTTTTGTTTCAGAAACAGTTTTCAAAACTAACAGAAAAATAACTAAATAAAGTCTGAAAAATTTAACAAAATTAAACCCTGACAAAATTTGTTTATGAAAATTCTTCCTTACCTGGTAACAAATACTATAGTACTGCTTATAATAGAATAGTTAAAGTCTTACAAAGCAGAATTAGGTTTACAAATTTTTTTTTCACGAGATTTAATTTAACGAATGCAGCAGTAGCAAAAAATAATTGAAATTAATCAACTACATTCTAGTAACAAGATTTTTCCAGAAAGTGATAATATCCAATTTATTGCCAACAAATTGAATTCATACATTTTCTAGACTCATAAAATAACTATAATATCATAACTGTATTAAAAGAAACTATTCAAAATATATGCCAATTCTTATTTCTATGTTTAGAAATTGAATATTTCGAAGTCCTTAAATGCATTGGAAATCTAGATTAAAAAAATAAAAAATAATAAAAAAAAAAAAACAGTTCACAAGTCTTTTGAAAAGCAAAATCTTATTCAGAATTTTACAATAATATGCTATGAGACGACTTGTAAGTTAAATTTAGCATTGATTTGCAAATCCATTAAAAAAAGTAATTCGATAAAGTATCTTTTACTTTAAATTCGCTATATATGAATTATATATTTGATTCAAACCTTAATTGGAAATCTTATGTTGACCATGTTGGAAATAAGCTAAGCTTTTAAATTTAGCATTTAAAATACATAGTTAGCAAAATTT